CCGAATTGGTCTCCTCGCGCTCTGCAGCACCCGCGCCTCCGGCGACGCGCCCACCAACCGAAGCCAACCTTACTCTACTGCGACTCTTGACCAGACTGCGAAGTGTGCACAATAGCAGTTATGTATATGAATGTACACAAGACGAGGCCCACACACGAGAAACATCAAACAGTAAATTAATGTCGACAAGCCTACAGTGGGTGGGGTAACAGCACATAACGTTCGGGAGTGGTCGTAGCGCATGATGGCAAAATTTAGAGGACATGTCCCCATTCTCACGAACAGCACCCAAAGCTCCGCGTGCTTTCAGAATCAATCCTGATGGGGTCCGGATAGTCGACGTATCTGTGAGAATACAGGGGTTCAGCTACTTCAATCAAGACGATACAGTAATCTCACAGCTGTTCCTCAGCCTCCTGCTGCAGAGCATTCTTCGCTACCGTCTGGAAGGCCTGCTCCACGTTGATAGCCTCCTTCGCTGATGTTTCAAAGTAAGGGATGTTGCCTTTCGACTGACACCAAGTCATAGCGCGCTTCTGGGTGACCTGCAACCAGACACACGCGAATCAAACTCGGTGCTCATGTAGCTCAAGATGAAGCGCACCTGTCGCTTGTTCTCCTCCATGTCAATCTTGTTTCCCAGCACAACAAATGGGAAGTTCTCCGGGTCATGTGGGCTAGCCTGGATGAGGAATTCATCGCGCCAGCTGTCGAGAGTCTCGAAGGATTTCGAGCTGTTGACGTCGTATACGAGTACGCAGCAGTCAGCGCCACGGTAGAACGCGACGCCAAGCGACTGGAATCGCTCCTGACCAGCGGTATCCCATAGCTGCGAATGTGTAAAGCTTGGCCGCAATCGTAATGGCAAAGATAGTGACTTGCCTGCATTGTCACCAGCCTGTCATCCACCATCACCTCCTTGGTCAAGCTACGGGCGTGGTTATTATTACTCCCAGGCGCTAATGCTGCACAGAATACGCACAAATCCGCCCCGATGGTTGCCTTGTACTGGTTGCTGAACCGCTTGTTTACATACTGGTTCATAAGTGAAGTCTTACCGACCCTGAAAATCGGGAGAGACGAGCACACAATTATTAGGGACAACTCCGAAACGGTCAAGTGTAGCTACGCAATACATACCCACTATCACCGAGGATGATAACCTGCGCGGACCTTGTCAGTTTTCTCGTGGGCAAACTAGAGCATAAAACCTCCCACCTTCAGGAGAACGCGTCCCATGGCACAGGCGGTTGGAGGTGGGGAGTGGAGGGAAACGTCGGAGTGGGTGCGAGATGGTAAGTAATAGGCAGCGTCGCTGCTCGGATGGTGGGCCTGGTGGGATCTGAGATCGACCGCTTTCAAGCTCCGTTTCAAACTGGCATTGCCCCATGCTCCCAGCTTTGCCAGGTTTGGTGTCGTACATTTGATTTCCGGCATCGTTGCCCTGCTAGCCACTCTCTCATCGCGGCGGCGTACTCGCAGAATCAATGGCTGAGCCTGCATGGCAAGAAACACTCCGGGTTCGCCTCGTCGAGCGTAATTCAAGAGAGTCGGCGTATGCGAACATCATCGAGCAATGTATGTGTCCGATTTTGACCTTGATACTGTGATCTCTGCGGCTCTTGGATGCATTGCAGCTGGTATTTGAACGCTGAAAAGATCGCAGATTGGCTCAACAGACCAAGTTATTGAAGGAGCGAAATGCTTCCCTCCTACGAGCAATGGGGACTGCACGGGTGAACCCCAGTAGTTCGACCGTCTTCGTTCCTGGATCTGGAGAAGAGTATGTGGATCTCTCTCTTCATGCGCCGAACAAGTTGCTAATGTTATCACTTAGGAATCCCGTACGCGCGGCATATATTACCTCACTGGAGTCACAGATATCTTCCTTACGGGATGAGCTCGCTACAGTATACAAGACCCAAGGCCAGAATGCACAGAGGTTATTGGCGATGAATGAGACGCTTCGTGAGAAGGAGGAATTATCGCGAGTGGACTCCGAAAACCTCAGAAAATCTCGCGATGAGATTGTGACGTTGCGAAAGAAGGTGGACCAGCACAACGAGCTAATGGCCGAAAAGGATCGCACCGCTCAGGTGCGCACACTTTTTTCCTCTAGTATCGTACGCAACGTATCATAATCAATGGTTCCTAGATCCTACATGATGAGATCAACACTCTGCAGCTAGAGCTCAGTCAGATTGAGGAGCGAAATTCGCAACTCGGTAAGGATAACGCGAAGCTTCTCCAGCGTTGGTTAGATGCAAAGCAGGCGGAGGTGAACAAAATGAACGAGGCGAATGAGTTCTACGAGGACATGCAGTCACGTCGACAAGAGGTGACGAATTCGACGCCAGATTCCGGTGCAAGCGCGGAGGAAAATGCGGAAGTGCAGTCGCTTTCAGAGTCGGGAAACGAGGAGGAGAAGGAGGAATCTGGGGCGGCGACGACGAAGGATGGGACGCCATCTCCACCGGAGACGGGCGTGAGTCAGACGCCGAATGGTTGATGGTTAATGAGTGAAGTGCTGTGTATGAGTTCAGTTCGGCCATCCGCTAACTATGGCCTAGCTATTTAACGCATTTGATACCAACAGCAGTCGCATTGTGCGTCTCGTGATACACCCATTGACTTGTACATATTTAGCCCTTCTTACAACTTGTTGGGATTTTGACTACGCGATCGCTCAGTAGTGCTTCTTCCTTACTTCGCTGGCTATCTCGAATAGGAAGGTGTAGTAGGTCGAGTCAGCCCAAGGTCAGCCACGCCTCCCCAAGACATAAGAGGCTGGCAAAGCATGCCCATCACCAACCTATTGCATGTATTTTGTCTGACTAGTCTCATCCATTATTTCGTTATTCCCAGCCTCTTCTCATTCATAGGTAACCCTTTCTTACCCTATTCAAGACCATAATGCGTGCTCCAACACTCACATGCGCCGTGCTCGTCGCCGCCACGCTTGTCCCATCGCTCGTCGCCGGGGTGCCTCTCTTCAATGCGCATCAAACCAACATCGTGGATTCGACCAGGCAGCCGACCACAGGAGGAAGTACGCCATCTCAATCACTTAATGTGCCAAGGAGTATTCCGGCCGAGCTCGAAAGACACGGCCAGTCAATAGCGTCCAGCGGTACGCAATATTCCCCTCTTTTCGTTGATGATACTAATACCATTCGTGGGTGCGTTCACAGTCAGATCTCGAAGTGAGCCAGTGCGAGGTGTCATACAGACATTGCCATCAACCTCGAGAAGGTATGTTTCCACGTAACTCAGGATTATGTCATCCTGAGGTATTCCCAACCCGACCTCCCAGACATGTCTCCGAAAGGGCACTCGACTCGGAATCGGCTGGTGGTAACGCGTATTCTGGTTCAACTGGTGATGTATCTGGAGGTTCCACCGCCGCCTTTATGAAGCAAGTTTCCTCTCCGCGCCCTCTTTCCCATTTTAACGGACTTGGTTCTCAGAAAAACATTCAGTCACTCGACATTGTACCGGCGCACAAGTGACGAGGACACGTCTGGCGGAAACGCCTACACTGGAAGCACGGGCGACGTCAGCGGCGGGTCGATCGAGAACGTGTCCGAAACCCCAGTCATGCCCACGATCATGAATATCAATTCAAACAATGGCGGTGCAGGCGGCTACTCTGAATCTGGCTGCGCGTCGGGCGGAAAGACGAATGACTCGGGAGCCGCGGGAAACGCATACTCCGGAAGCACCGGGAATGCGGAGGGGGGAAAAGTGTCTGGTGTTGGTGGGATGGTGAACTGGAATTCGAGTAAGTGACTTGTATGCCTCGGCGCTGGGGTTAAGTGAGCTGACCATCGATTTGTAGACAATGCCGGGAATGCAGGAGTTTCGAAGAGTGGTTGCGCAACCGGTGGGAATGTCGGGTATCCCAAGGCCTCATCGGAGAGGCAAGATATGCTATTGCGTCCTCCTATCATATAATGTAGCATCCCGCCCGATCGTCCTTCCTAGTTACATATGTATGTATATGAGTGTTTTCCGTCTGACAATGTAGTTATCGACGGGCCCGGTGCTGGTCGGCGAAGCCCTTGGATGATTTTGTGCGAAATTGATCGCAACGCACATGTACAAATTCACAGAATGCCAGACCCTGATGTTGCTCAAAGGCAGTACTACAAAAAACTACAGTAAATATGGACTTGGTCTACATCAATCTACGCAACATAAAACTATTAACACTCAACAACCATTTCTCACTCGCAATTTGTTGAGCGTCTTCCTCATCGATGACTCTTCTGTTCTCAATTACCTCCCGCCCCCGCTAGATCCAACTTCGCCTGAATGTGCCTCTCCTCCAGAGTACAAAAGAGTTCCCATGCCAGGAGTCTCTGCTCCTCGAAGGCTCTGACCCTGAGCACTAGGCATTTCTGTAGTGACATGGATATACATCGTTCGCTTCCGATAATATTGGCTGGATGCCTTACCCTTGCTAATGTGCCTGGTCGCAATACCTTTGGATAATTCATCCTCTCCGACTGTCCGGGGCAAAGGATGGTTATCAGTATATTCCTTTCTGCGCACCAACTTAGTTCCGGCACTGGTCCCAACAACGGTACTGTTCATTACTTCATAGAGCTCCTTTCGAGCTTCTTCCTGAGTGAGGGCAGTGCTGAGAGATCGTCGCACTGGAGTAGGGGACTGGGACTGAGACCAAATTTTGGGATAGTCTGGGTAGTGACCGTTGGCATGTTCCTCATGCACAGATTTAGGAAGGGTCTCACCAGGACTCCCGGAGTCAGACGGCTTTCCGAGGTCGACGGGGTCACCTTCCCCTGAACCGGCTGAACTGGTGCCACCTGCACCGTACTAGCATTTCAGTCAAGTCTATATTCGAAGGACTACTTTGAGGATATTACTTATTGCGTCGAGAATAGCTGATCGGAAGGCGGGAGATGCGTCGGGGGATATGGCGTTCTGGCCTATACTATCAGCGGAGCCGGCGTGTGCGTCACTGGAGCACGACACGCCCCCATCAGAGCTCCCGGAACTTTCTGAATCCCGCAATCAATATAGATTAGTTTGAAGACAGCATAGTCTTACCATGACTAATGTCCACATTCATATTATCAGCACCTGGGGAGTTTGAGTTTGGGGTTGTGCAACCTCCGCCATGATTCTGGCGGGAAGGTCTAGGCGGGGCCGGCCTTCCTGCTGGGCGCGCAACGACAGCTCTCTTCTCATGAGGAGCCTGAGGTAGAACTTGCGCGTGTTTGACAGCGCTGTCGACGAGTCCTGAGTGTCTGGGCGCACGATGTGAGACGGCACGTTGCGTCAGAGGGTCCGCTTGTGTGTGAGGTGCCGACAAAGTCGCATTGAGGTCAGGGGAGTTGGGCAGTGAATTGGTGGCGGAGACCGAGATTGCTGCTGCTGCAAAGACAGAAAACGCGACTATCGGGCTGCGCATGTTTCAAAAGACTGTGTGATAAAAGATGGGTATTTTATGAGCGAAAGTGGGTGTTCAACGTTCAACGTTCAACTTGAAGCTTGAAGGACGGGACAATTTTGGACAGTGGCTTACTGCACTCGCTCGATCAGGTAGCCCACCTTCCTGAAAAGGACTGCGGGCCTCGATTACACGACGCCTGCAAGTCAAAAGGATGGGTTAACTAAATAGATGATTGAAGCCATTGCGGCACGCAAGCACGCTGGCAGTCGCTCAATGCATATTGCTTGTGAGCTTTATGCTGTAATGTGAGCTTGTCCTCCCCATCGCCAATTGATGGGGGCGATGTTCAGACTTGGCAGGTGGCTTCCCCGAAAAGGAAGGTGTTCAGCGTCGATGACCGCGAAGGCGCGGCGGACAGTCAACCCAGGACTCATAAAGGGAGGGCAGCAGACAGGCTTGCATCCCCAGCCTCAAGTCTCGGATATTCGCACATTACTATCATCCTCCCACTCCCTTCTAGCAGTCATGCGTAGCCCCATCATCGCCTTCTCAATCGTCGCCGCGACCGTCGGCCCAACACTCGTTGCCGCCATGTCGAACTCCCCCGGGGGCAATACCCCCATGCGCGCTCGGGTGTCAGAAGTCAAGACTAATGATAACAGCCCGCTCCCTCTCGAGCGCCGGGGAGAAACTCCCTTTAACCTTAAGAAGGCGTCGCTGAAGAATTCAGACATCCTAGGCAGCCTCGAAGCGCCAAGAGGGTCGAACGCCAATCCCAGCACCGATTCCGATTCCCTGGGCGACGCCAACACTGTGACCGACATGGCTAACACCGCTGCCAAGAACGACGCAGAAACCTTTCAAGGCGCTCACGTCGCTCCTAGCGAACCCACCAATCCAAACCCCGAAGGCAGGGCAGGCAGTGTACTCGAAAGGCCCCAACCAGGTAGTGGCATGAACGGAATAAAGAATGCTAATGCCTGACCTTGTAAGTGCTCACCTTCAGCCCTCATATCTCATCGTTAGCTGACCTTCGTCAGAAATGACCAACTCGACGCATGGAGGAGACTCAGACACAGGGCAACCCATGGGACCTTGTCAGTGTTGTTGATCTGTTCAGCTAGAGCCGTCGCCTGTAATGGCCAGGTATGGCATAAATATACCAATGTTGCGATTGCATTGAGAAACAGAGTATCTGTCCCTGCAATAATGGTATCACATACGTCAGCGACTAATGCCGAAATGAAAAGCTGTGAGTATTGCTGAACGCGCAAAACAACACATGGAGGGCTTTATCAATAAAAAAACGCCAGAAACGATAAGAGAAAAGAGCCTAATCATCACATCGCAGAAGCAGCAGAATATGTAGCTATGAACGCACGCTGTGAGGGACAGAGTGAAGTGATATTTTGATACGAGGAACGACGGTGGATGACCTGCAAAATACGGTAAAACAACCACATGAGACATATTTGAGTCGAATGGCGCGATCTGAGACCAGGATTTACGCTACAATCATCGACTTGATACAAAATAGCTTAAGCAATTAAGCAGTGCCTTGGTGCTGATCTGCGGCACCTTGACCTGCGGGCTGCTGCCCATAGTAACCTGCGACGGCATGCGAACTTAAAACAATCTTAGGAGAACGCTGGAATGGACACGACTCACCTCCCCAGTAATTCTGGTAATAAGAACTCGGGTCGCCACCAGCCCACTGCCCCTGCCCTGCTTGACCCGCAGTAAGGTCCGGAGGGCCCGCAGCGGCACCCGCACCCATACCCATCCCTGCGGCTCCTGCAACAGGGCTGCCCATACCGGGAGCAGCAGCTCCCGGTGTGCCAGCTGCGCCGGCCTGATTGGGGAATGCATTGTACCCTCCAAACCCATACTGTCCGTACGTATTGGGCTGTGGCATGCCATACATAGGCTAAGGATGAGATTAAGTTATTGTATGCGCACAAAGGATGTAATCGATTGCACGTACCAGCTGCCCATAAGGCGCTGCTGCAGGTGTCGGGCTCATCGAACCCGTAGAAAGTGGTGCTGTTCCATCGGCGCGGTCTTTGCCCCAGCTGCACTTGATAGGTCGTCCATGCACCATCTGACCCTGGAGCTGCACAATTGCCATGGCAGCATGCTCGTGCGTATCCAACTTAACAAACGCAAACCCGCGGTCGGCCTGCATGCGGATCTCGGACAGATAACCGATGGACTGAAATAGCGGGATGAGGTCTGCTTGAGTACAGTAAGGAACGAGGTTGCCGACGTAAACGGTCGTATTGTACGCTGGTGTCTGCTGCACGACGGATTCGTAGGAGAGCGGGCCTCCCTGGAAGTTGATGGGTGCGGGCGCACCTCCCATTCCAGAGGGGCGCCCTGGCATGGTAGGGGACGGGCCACCTTGAGTCTTTTGGTTTGCCCAGTTCACACGAATGGCCCGCGAACCAAGCCATTCGCCGTTCATGGTAGCAATGGCTTGCTCGGCATCCGTCTTGTCACGGAACGCGAGGAAGCCGTAGCCGCGAGATTTGCCCGAGTTCATATCCCACATCACTCGAGCATCTGATAGGGTGCCGAAGGCACTGAAAGCTTTCCCAAGGACCTCGTCGTTGACTTCGGGGCTGAGGTCACCGACGAAGACGTGGTAGTGGTTGCTCGTGTCCTCCTTATTTTGCTGACCCTGGTACGCCCAATTGACGCGAATCTCGGTATCAAAGATCTTTCGTCCGTTCAGCGTCTGGAGCGCTGTCTCCGCGGCGCGCATGTCCATGTATTCAACGAAGCCGTAGTTGAGACCACCATGTTGGTAGTTACGATCAGGAATAATCTTGACGTGTTGCACGGGCCCGGCCACGGCGAAAATCTCGGTGAGCATGTACTCAGTAACCCTTGGGCTGAGATTGCCAACGTAAAGATGAGCCCGCCTCTGCAAAGCCGGATGTCGTTAGGCAGACAGTTTCATATCAACCGCACCGACAGAAGTACTCACGGGTGCCTCAGCCGCTGCCATTGCACTCATTGCGTTCATGATGACAGAGAGACAATGAAATCGTTAGAACCTAGGCGATATTAGATGAGGATTGAAACCGATGGCGGCTGATGAGACGATATTCACAACAGGAAAATGGACGACAGAGCGAACAGGAGCACGACAGAAGTCCAATATGAGACAGAGGAGACAAAGAGAGGACGAGAGGACGAGAGAGGAGAGAAAAATGGAGAAGAGAAAAACGGACGAGACGATATGACAGTCAGGAGACAACGCCGTTGAGTGAGTCGGGAAGACAAGACGCTGCGTTCCTCTGCGGCTTTTTCCTCGGCTATCTCCGATTACCATTTTATCAGATGGCCAACTGCGTCAAAAGGCAAGCCACACCGGACAGTGGATGGACCATAACTAGCATTGAACAGAGCAGACAGAACTATGGAGACTAAGACTACTTTTGCGCAGGCACGTTCAACAACACGTTGCCTCCCCCACTGGGGATGTACGTCACGTTCGGGTTGCCCGCGAGCGACTGCACAATCGCCTTGCTCGCCTCAATCTTCCGGAAGGTCACGAATGCTTCCCCAGCCTTATCTAGGGCTCGCGAAATCGTCGCAGCCGCCTCGGCCTCGCCTTCAGCCCGAATAACCGCTGCTTGACGTTCTTGCTCCGCCTAGAGGAAGATTTAGTCATGGAACTCTTGGGCGGCAAATAACCTTGCCTTCTCAACAATGAACTTCGCTCGCTCGGCATCTGTTCAATATGAACTCAAAAATTACAACCAGCAGACTGATGATCACTGACCTTGCTGAGCGATCTGCTTCGCCTCTACCGCCTATAACTCATGCTTAAAGCAACTCGGCAATAACATTGCAATGTCACGCACCTGTGTGAACTCCTACATAACAACTGCCATCAGTAATAGAATTCAGTAAAAACGGTAAGGCGCACTTTTCCAAACGTCAAATGTGTGATGGAGACATCCTCCAATTTGAGATTAAACTCTCCCGCACGTTGAAGAAGGTCTTCTCGAATTCGCGATGACACCTAGGTAATGAAGAATCAGCACCCCTCCATGAAGGGTATCTCTCGCAACTTGCCACTTCTCGTTGCGTAATTAGTTCAGCGGCATCAAACTGGGCCACAATACTCTTAAGGACTTCGTTACCAACAGATGGTAGAACTCTCTCGTCATAATCTAGACCAAGGCTTTGGTAAATTTTGGGTAAGTGCTCTACATCCGGTCGAGAGAGCACTCGAAGGGTAATGGTGACCATCTGTAGATCTTTTGACCCGGTTGTTGTCGAGATATTCTACAGGGTGATAGGGTGTCAATGTCTGTCCCCAACAACCAACGAGAATTTGGCTAACACGAGGTTTGATGCGACAGTCGTAGAGAATGGCACGTTGGAGCCAGGGAACAAGGAAATGTGTACCTTCAGGCTTGGCCTACAGATGTTCACCCAGCGTCAACGTAATACGCCCCCAACCGCCTGAAGTCAGCTCACTTTATCCATCACACCTGAGAATCGGTCGAACATGACAGCACGGTAGCCTCCCGGAACATCGTAAATGCTGGCTTGGGCAACAGCCGCAGCTATCGCCACGGGCACTAGATACGCATTGTCTGAGTACGCTTGCACTAGATGGGTGTGTGCAGTGCTGACCTACGAGCCGACTTGCGAGTGAAGGAAGGGCGGCCATAGCGATGGAAGAAGACGAAGCTGAAGAGGACGCGCTACCTACCGGCAGCACGTCATGACTTTCGATCACGCGTCTGGAACTGGAGCGCTTAGCGCTAATCGCACTACAAGCCTTCAGACTTCAAATTTTAGCGGAGCATTTCAGTAAATCCGTCTGTTCGACCCGTGGACGTGAAACAAATTCTATTTTATGTGATCAACAGATCACCTTTTCTATCTCCATCTCCTGGTCCCATGCGAGCTGAATGACTGCCAAATTGCATAGCTCTCTTCTTCCTGCCACTCGCTTCGACCAAGCCTACTTTTCTCGCTGCCAGTCTCAACAACATCTTCTCTCCAAGTCCAGATTCAAGCCTTGGGTCCATCTTCATATGCACAGGAAGCTGCGCTAGGAAAGCCACCACGGACAACGAGAGGAATGGGTGTCGAGTCTCTTTGCCGTGCGATGAGATAACACGGTCGTCCCTCCCTAGATTTCTCGTAGGAATGCGGTCAAGTTCTAGCTGAAGCTAGCGTAGCGAGTTGAAACTAATACAAAGACGGATAGGATAAAGCGACGTACCTCGTCCACAATCGCTTGCCACCCAGCGTTTTTATACGCTGTCCTAAATCGGCCATAACCACCGAGGAGCTCGTCTGATCCGAGCCCGTTTAAGAGAACTCTAGCGGGAGAAGCGTAAAGTTGTGGCTTCGAACTGGGGTCTGTCCGAATCTGGCCTGTACCTCGGGCAGCAAAGTATAATGCCACTGCAAGGCTCTGTATCATAATGAGTACACAATCCAAGTCGCTCAACACGATCACTGACTAGGTCCATGACAGTTCTACTTGGGAACATTAGTGCCTCTACGGTAGAGCGCGCGGCTTGCGATTCCTGCCATGACTTCATTAGTTATATGCTCACGGCATCTTCGAGGAGCTGACCTCGTAAGGCACGTTGACCTCAACCTTATTTCCACGCTGCTCAGTGTAATCAAGTTAAATCAGACAGCCATAATACCCACAAAATTCCAGACACGGTCAGGACACAATTTCCTGAGCTCTTCAACCTCTTGGAGTCCGGTCAACCTATCAGGTACATCGTAGGAGACATTGACCGTCGAATAATCTAAACGATCTCGCAATTTTTGCTTCTTCTCCCGCTTGGGCAGCCCCCCAATATTTCCTTCCACTTGGACCGCTATTTTACGGGGGTTTTCAAACGCAACATTGAGAAGGTCGATTGGTTCGGAGACATCAACATGGCTTTCAATAGGATGTGAGCGCCTGGATAGAAGCTAAGGCATGTAAACACAAACCGATCTGCAAGGAATGCCAGCATCGTAGAATCGATACCACCGCTGAATAATATAGCCACTCTAGCACCCTCACTGGCTCAAAAATCAAGAAAGCACAGGCAACTATATCATGCTTATCACTGACCTTACTGTAGGAATATTTCTCACGCGCAACATTACAGAACGATCTAGCTGAGAGATCAACTCGTCCACCGCGGAGGAGAGATGATCTGGAATGTGATCTAATCCGCTCACTTTCGGCGGATCACTGGGGAGTAAGCGATTGACCGTACTCAATCGCGCCTACGTGCGCATGAATGGATAGACAAGGGAGGAGATAATTTGAACCCCACAAAGTGTAATGACGAATTTGACCCCGCCCGTGAAATATTTTCTAGACAGTGGGGAAAGGCAGATGTCATCTGTCCAGAAGACAATTAGAAATTATGCTCAGACATAAGGTATAAGAGGTTGTCGTACATGAGCCGCATCACTCAATCTTCCGACGTCAACAAAATATAATGACTCAGTCGATATCTCTTCCAGGGCATAACCTGAGTGCGAGCCGACAGAGACGGATGACAACAGGAAGTACGGATTCGATTCATCTGGGGTGTGAATGAGTAGAGATCGACGTCCCAGTGGATCTCGTGCGAAGTAAAGCCTCCTGGTAGAATTCTGGATACAATTTATACGATGACAAGCTGTCACCACTGCTCATGCGCACCTCGTAGTATACAAATGCATACCTATTCAAGACGGTCAAAATATTTCCTAAATTGGACACTGAACATTGACCTACGGGCCTTCAATCTTGCCTAAACAATCTCTGATTTCTTCTGGTGTCCGTCGAATTTGAAGTTCAGAGAATAGTTTCACACCATCGTTCTCTGCTGGAGACACCTGATATACATCTGCACAGCTATCCATCTTTCCATGTTAAGCTACACTCACCGGTATTCCCTCGAATATCTACACAGATGAATAAGGGAATTTAAAGGAAGGAAGACTGGTAAATATACACACCTCGCCATTCCAACACAAGACGTTTCCTTGGGTATCGCAATGTGGTTGTGCGACATACATCTCCCCTCTCAAGTGTAACTCAGATGCGAAGAATGTCATGGTACATCCCCCTACAATCGTCTGCACGATGTTCTGTGCATCTGGTCCTGCAAATTTTCCCTGGTCGATCGGTGAACCATGGGAGCGGTGATACGGGCCACCAACCTCGCGCTGCATTCGCTTCCTGCAATTGCGAAGACAGAGTTGTAAATGCAGCATCGGTTTTCTCTGAGCCACCAGCCGGGCATGGTGTTGCTCGAATGGAGAACAGGATGCCGCACATGAATGTCTTCTGGTGACAAAGTTTGCCATATCGGGCCGGTAAGTGGAGCGTCGACCAAATCTCTGTTCTCTATTCGCAGGCTCGAAAACAAGTTCACGATCCCGACCAAATATCAGTCAAATTCTCCTCGATTTAGGATCTTCTACATAGCAGACACAATTTTGCATCGTACTTCCCATGCCGTGAACAGGCACACCGCATGGACATCGCCCGAAAATACAAAGTCTACAACAGCTATTAAAACATCTCTTTATCTTCTTCTGCCTATCACATCCTGAACGACGATGGAACTGACGCTTAAGCCGAGTATGTGCTGGCAGAGACGTTGCCGCCACGACCAGTCCAGTTGATGTCTGCATATAGAACATGAGATAATGGCCGCTAGCGAGATGTGAAAAAGGACACTTACGGATGTCCTCACCAGTCTTGAGCTTGGCGTTCTCTTTGCCAGGCATAACCCGGAAAGTGTGCGCACCGAAGTAATCACGCTGCCACGCCAAGTGCATGTCAGTGACATATACAACGATGGAATCGACACTCTGACGCTAACCTGAGCCTGCAAAATGTTGGCGGGGACAACCTCGCTCCTGTACCCATCGAAGAACGCCAGAGCCGTGCTAAAAGCAGGAGTAGGAATTCCCCAAAGAACAGCTTGAGCAATGATACGACGCCAGCCAGGCTGAGCCTTGTGCACAGCCTTGTTGAAGAAGTCATCGAACAGAAGCGACTCAAGATTGCCGCTCTTCTGATATGCGGACGTAATGTCACCAAGGAAGACACTCTTGATGATGCAACCACCACGCCACATCTGCGCAATACCTGCATAGTTCAAGTGCCAGTCTAACTAAAAGTATTGTATTCAGCTGAGGTTCAGTTAAATAGGAGAGGAGACCGGAACTCACCTCCTTCGCTGTCTCCCTCATGAGCATGAAGCCCTGAGCATATGAGATGATCTTCGAAGCATACAAGGCTTGCTCCAAGTCATCGATGAACTGCTTCTTGTCCCCCTTGAATTCCTCCTTTTGTGGGCCGCTAATGACTTTGCTTGCACGAACACGCTCTTCCTTGATAGAAGACAGGCAGCGTGCAAACACAGCCTCGCCGATGAGCGTGACTTGGAGACAAATTCAATGATTGAGCACTTGACAAATTTTGCGTATACATACCGGGCATGCCGGCATCGAGTGCCGCAATGGCGGTCCACTTGCCGGTGCCCTTTTGGCCAGCTTTGTCCAAAATTTTGCTAACCATCGGAGCGCCATCATCGTCCTTGAACTTGAGGATGTTTGCGGTGATATCGATGAGGAAGGAGTCTAAGACGCCCTTGTTCCATTTGAGGAAAATGTCCGCAATCTCATCCTCAGGCAGGCCGAGACCACGCTTAAGAATGTCGTATGCTTCAGCAATGAGCTGCATATCACCGTACTCGATACCTGAGACAAGTATGTCTCAGCGAGACATTATAAGATGGCATGAAAAGACTGACTGACCATTGTGAACCATCTTCACGTAGTGACCAGCACCGGTCTCACCGACCCAGTCACAGCACGGCTCGCCCTTGACCTGAGCAGCAGTAGCCTGGAAGATCTCTTTAATGTGTGGCCAGGCGGCAGGAGAGCCACCAGGCATGAGTGAGGGGCCGAAGCGGGCACCCTCTTCACCACCAGACACACCGGAGCCAACAAAAAGGAAGCCCTTGGCCTCGAGCTCCTTGGTACGGCGGATGGAATCAGGGTAGTGAGAGTTACCGCCATCAATAACGATGTCACCCTGGTCAAGGAACGGGAGGAGCTGGTTAATGAAGTCGTCGACAATGGGACCGGCCTTGACGAGAAGAATCATCTTTCGAGGTCGCTTAAGTTTTGCGACGAACTCCTGGACGGAGTGTGCGCCCAAAATCTTGGTTCCTGATTGCGTCGCTTATGAGATCACGTTAAGATGACGATAGGGATGATCACAAACCCTTGGCCTCATTGGCAAGGAAGTGGTCGACTTTGCTCGTTGTCCGGTTGTAAGCAACAACAGTGAAGCCCTTGTCGTTCATGTTCAAAATCAAATTTTGACCCTGCGTACAGACCTGTTAGCATTGCTCAGGGAGAGACGGTATGAGGACGCGTACCATGACCGCAAGACCAATAACACCGATGTCACCTCTGCGTGGACATCAGTGCAAGCTCTCACGCAGATGGATGTAATGCGTACTGAGCCTCAGACATGGTTGAGCGCGATGTATAGAAGAGGGGGAGGATAGTAGTGGTATGAGGGAAAGAAACGTCTCGGAGAGAGGTGATGTCGATGAGATATAGAACGTGAGCCTGACGTCTTTGTCACGCCGGGCCGATGGGAAACTTGTGATCGTGAGAGTAATCAGCGATAACTCGTTCAAATTGGATTCGCGCTTCACACCGCTGCCCCGAATTTCTCAGCTGCAGCGCCGTGCTGACATCCTCCGCCGGACTCCGGAGAATTGTCCTCGATGACTGAGAAAGCTGGACATGGTTTCCAGCTCTCAGCCATGCGCGCAAATTCACAGAGAAAGTCACAGTCACAAAGCGCCGAGGGAGCCTGCACGTGACACAGTTCGGTTTGAGGCCAGATTGACTCTGAGAAGTGGATGAGCCAGTGGCACTGAGGTCAGCCTCTTCGTGCGGGAATAGACATTCTCTACAGTCAGACTTGCTTCCATGCGATTGCCATGCTCTGTCTCCCTGGACCCATACGATACGACGAGATTCTCGATTGGCGGAATTCGCTTATTCGACGGTCCATGCGCATGGACATCACCCGGTGTTGCCCGTCCTGTCCTAAAACCCATGCTCAGGACCCTGGACATAAAGTAGAAGGCTTTTCAGCGCTGTTCCATGGCTCAGTAGATCTAAGGATCGTTGCATTGAACAGTGAGGTCGAGTTACTAGACCGTATGTCCGACGGCGAGGCCAAGGCGAGAGGCACCCGACTTTTATTGACCGACCCGGACCGGCCAATGCCGACCACTAGTCTCACCTCTGGCGCCTTGCTGCTAGAGTGACTCGAGCACATCCGCGACTACTTATTTCGTACGTGGAGGTTCAGCTCTCTGCAACCTGCACTCCGACTACCATCCACGATGTTCTCATCGGCTTCACTTCCTGCGCATCTTTTGGCGCGTTCCAGTCGTGTTTTTCCTCGTGTCATTCCTGCAAATGCGCGTGGACGCCTGGCGCGTTTCAACTCTACGCTCGCTGACATCGAGGTATGACTTCTCGAACGTCCCATATATCGAGAATCCTTGAAGGCAGGCTCACTTGCAGGCGTCAAAAGTGGAAGTGAGGGTGACAAGCAGTCCTAAAACACCTCCGGATACTGATGCCATTCCCTTCGGCCACTCATTCGTAAGACGCTTTTGCTTTGAATCAGGGTACTTTCAATATTTGAGTTTTGACTCTCTTTACGCACTGTGGAATAGACTGATCATATGCTCACTATCCCTTGGAATGCTGCCACCGGATGGGGTGCTCCTCAAATACAACCATGTGAGTCTCGTGCGGATCTATCGTTGCATCTTGTACTGAATGATCTGCGCTTCTTCATAGACGGGCCATTTACAATGATGCCCAGCTCGTCTGTATTCCACTATGCAACGTGTTTATTCGAAGGGCTCAAGGCGTACCGGAATGACCTCGGCAAGGTCACGCTTTTCAGGCCAGATATGAATATGAAGCGTATGAACATAAGCGCTCAGCGAGCAGCATTACCAGTACGCTATTTGCTTCGTATCGTGCATGGTTGATTGTGACGTACGCCTGGTTCACAATAGAATTTCGACGGGGATGCTGTGATTGAACTCATCAAGCAACTCGTTCGGTTAGACAAACACTGGATTCCAAATAGACCTGGATACAGTTTGTATATTCGACCTACGTTAAGTGAGTGCCTGGCTATTCAGGGCTCTGAGCATGCGCTAAATGGTTTCCGCTGGCCGAAGTCGGCTCACAGCCAGCCATTGGTATTCATCCTTCTACGGAGGCACTGCTGTTCGTAATATGCACTCCTGCGGGTCCGTATTTCCCGCAAGGCTTCAAACCTGTTGCTCTGTATGGCACCACAGAATACACGCGAGCGTCACCAGGAGGCAAGTCGGGCCCTTCTTTCTGTTAAGTATTCCACCAACGTCACTCGATCCAGGCACTGGCGCCTACAAACTGGGAGCGAACTACGTATCTGGTCTTGCTGCGCAAAGTAAAGCTTATAAAGAAGGTTACGTGCAGAATCTTTGGTTGCATGGACCTGAGCACTATGTCACGGAGGTAGATTTACGCTCATGTTCTGAGCTGCACGTCGTCGCTGACATCCATGGCAATAGGTAGGCACTATGAACGCGTTTGCTACTCTCAAACGTCCGGATGGGGGTATGTTGAAACTATTTTTCCAATTTGTCGATGCGAGATTATTGAACAATGACATCCTCAGCGCTCGAGCTTGTCACTCCTCCATTAGACGGGATGATCCTGGCAGGTATCACGCGTGATTCTGTGTTGAGTCTTGCAAGAGATCATGCGTCGGGTAAATCGAAAATGGATGGCCTTCCGGAGCGACTGATCGTCACGGAACGATCCTTTACGATGAGCGAAGTCAAGCAGGCGGCACAGGAGGGCAATCTCGTCGAGTTTTTCGGTACAGGTAATAAAAAGGCCGTTTGTATGGACATTCCGCCGATGTTAACTGCTTACTTAATTAGGCACTGCTGCTACTATCAGTTCTGTGGACCGGATCGGATACTTGGGCGAGGACGTCCACATTCCTACGGGGCCTGACGGCATGGGACCGGTGGCCCGCGCGGTCTTCCAGCACTTGGCGGGTATCCAGAGGGGAGTGGTTTCCCATCCATGGAGTGTGGTTGTTTCCGAGTAGACGGCAGCTTGGGAATGCCGAGAAGAATTGTATATATTTTGCTTACGCCTAGAGCGGGTACAGAGTTAATACGAGGCGCGTGAGAGGCGCCGGCCTAGTGACATCATGTCCGAGCCGTGGTCGACCTCGCTGTTGCCTCCGAGCTGTTGCGAGAGGAAGAAGGCATGGCTCTCCAACGCTGTGGTCTCCCAGCCTTCTTCAGTGCCTGTCATCGTGGATTCGGACGACGCGTCTATGCGCGGGCCTACGCGGCCGTCGGGTCCACCACATACGTTGGCCAGCCACCCCCGCCTCCATCCCCATCGTCTTCTCTCCCGACTGCACCTCCTACGGCCCCCAATTTTCCTTCTGTTTTCGATGCTCGCATTCTATCAGAGCTCCGCCATCGCGCCCAACCACCTCCTGGTAGCACCTCCTCCGTCCAAATACAGCTTCCACAGCTGATTGACCAGTACCTGGACCGGAGCGGGCTTGTTCTCGACAGCGCTCTGTCGTATGAATCGCGCCCTGCATCAGAGAGGCAAGTGCTGTTCGATGAAAACGGAGACGATGCCATCGCCATGATTGTGCACGCCGCCCAACAGGCGGGTGTGGGGCACAAAGTTACACATGCCTCTGGCTTTGCCCTTAACGTGCCCGGCTTAGAGGGGCAATCGGTCTTCGTCACTTGCGCGCATACGTTGGAAGAGGTATGTCTCGCGGACTCCCCAATTTGTAGCTACTGGATCTAACTCGTCTTTCAGATTAGACACAGCCGTCTTCTGCGTTCGCATGCAGAACACCCTAGCCTCTCAGGCTCGTTCATCGTCACAGGCAGCTCTTCGCCGACGTTCAGCCCCGTGTCGTCCGTCCTTTCCTCCCTTTATCGATCAGATTTACTCCTGCTCTCCACCTCCACCCCGGTCCCTCTCATCCGCACACTTCCCGTCTCGCCGTATCCCGCACAGCCCGGGACACCTATCCGCGTACACTTTGTGGCCGAGAAGCCTCAAATTTGCGGGGCTGACGCAGAAGGGTGGCGACCCTGGATCGATGGGACCTGGAGTAAATGGGTGAGAGGGACGCTTGTGGGGTACCGTGATTTAGCTGGGCGAGAGGCCAAGGTGAGCAGGTTGCCTATTGACCATCTCTGATCTATAACGCCCTGCTTGCAGCCCGGAACCTATGATGCGCTTTCCCATTTAATTTTCGACCCTCCGCCGACTCCGGGTTCGAGTGGCGGGCCTATCATTGACGAGCAAAGCGGTGCTGTCGTCGGTGTAATGCTAGGTACACAAATGCAGAACAGGGTAGAAGGGGTGCGTGGATGGGGGGTGCCGTCTGAGCTGATTTTTGAGGTGTGTGTATCGAATGTATCGCCCAATCAACCCGACTCACATTAGCGCAGATGTTCAGCTTACCTGGGTTGAAGCTCACGAACAAGACATGACACATGAGTTTCCGAATTTCAATTTTGATAGTACAGTTACTATTCCGCGTACAGTAATATGTGAGATTTGTATTTCTCTTGTAGAGTTTCAGCACGTGTGCGTTCGTATTCTATGACTGTGAAATTTGTAGACCTCCCTCCGTTTCCTTCAACGGTGTCTCTTCGATCTTGGTATCGTCGCGATATTACGCACTGATATTTTCATGGGGTCTTCCTAATTTCATCTGCGATTCCGTCCGCTACCTCCTGACTTCGACTTTTGTTCTCAGCCATCCGACGAGCCCCAGGGCTCGGAATATTTCCACGCTGGATCCTGGCATTCGCCAGTGAGGTGCTTTACACATCGAACATTTCGAATTGATGTTGTCCTTCCCACAGTATCGGCGGAAATCGTCTTGACTACCTGCAATCTTTATTAAACATTCAAGCACCACTGCATGGCCTCATTGCAGTGTTTGTTGATTCGCGGTTTTGGTCCCGATCGCATTGCGTCGTATGCTATACCAAGCCCATCGAACACCATTGCGTACTTGCTGAGAATCTTGGTGTAATCGGCCGGCCGCTCCAGCATAACGACTGCCCCTTCCTCCGCATTGCTGCTCGAAGACGTACCGATGGCACGATGTAACCATTCTATGAGATCGCCAAGCCCAGATAGACTGCACTTAGAGGATGAAGACTCCGGAGTGGCGCAGCGGATGCCAAGTGATCATGATGCAGGTTTCGCGAGGTAAGACCATCTTCTTCATAATGCCAAAATCCCACGGGTGGCACACCGTCTCGTACCTCCAGCCTGTGCGGACGCGGAGACAGCTGTCGAAGGGAGGTGGCAGAACACCAACTGTAGAACATATGTGAAAAGGAACCCGGTGTCAACGTCCTTGCAGCGCCAGAAAATGACTTTGAGCCGGCGCTGCGTTAACCGGGTGCCGTCAGAGTCATGATTCCGCTGGGGTGAGTGAACGCCGAGCGTGACGCGCTCGAAGTCATTTGGGTCATCACGAAGGATACAGGCGCTCTGATTCTGATAGGGTCCTACACGATACCACTCGGGAGGAAGATAGGCCCGCGAGACAGCCTGAAAACGGGACGAAACTCTGACGACTTGGACAAGCAGCTGGAAAGTTATATTCTGCACGTGCATGACTGTCGACGGGTATGACGGCTACGTCGTGCAAGTCGAGGACAAAGTTATCTGGAAAGAGTGAGGTGGGCTCCATCGTCGTCGGTAGTAGCTCACAGACGTAAGACGAGTGAGAGCAAGGGGCCACTGAGTGCACGTTGCTTATATTTATGCACGGTTCTCGACCATAATGCCTTACAACCAGCCAAGGTGGCTCTTCAGCATTCTTCCCTTTCCTTTAAGCCTTTTACAAAAACTTGAAACCCCAACATGCGCTTGCACAGCTCAGGCGGTATCCGATGCCTCCACCTTGGATTTCGACTTGCGCACATGTACATGATCGTAGTTTACATGTTGGCTGCTGCCTGTATTGGCCTGAAGTCATCAAATGGCCCTAATGATGACGCTGAATGTGGACCCTTGTACATGTCAAGTTCAGTGTCATTGCTTATTACAGCAAGATCGGAAGAAGGAACAAGTGAACATAGTACTACATCTAACGTTAACAATCCTAACACAGATACAACAGATACTAAACAACGGTAATAATACAGAAGCATCTTTGAAACCCGTCTGATATTAAGCAAGCCCATCCGGATCGTACAGCATGATCACTTCCTTCACCTTCTCCGACCGTGGTCT